AGTGTCCTAAAAAGTGCAATATGAGACAGATGCATTATTATTATACAGTTTTGAAACTTTTTGCTTTTTACTTGTGTTTTACTACTTTTTAGCATTTTGAACCTTCAACATTTAGCTAAACATTCACTGCTTCTAGCTACTATTTTTCTACTTTTAGCTTCTAAATATCATTTTCCTTCTAATAGGTTCTAGTTCACCTTTTGCTGTTTATAGCTTTTAGTTACCTTAGCTTTAGCTGGAATTTAACCTTTTTGTTTTTTAGCTAGACTTTTACAACTTTGTGATGTAGCAGCCAGCATGTTTCCTCTTTTAGCTTTTTAGTTCACTTTTAGCTATGCATTTTGCATCTTTTAGCTTTAGAAACCTTAGCTGAGCAATTTTACCTATTTTAGTTTCTTCAGCATGTTTTGGGCAGTAATTTAGCACTCAGCATCCACACTGCATTTTTGCAGAAATTGTATTTTTTCTATTGCATCAAAACATGGGCATTTTGTCTCCTTTCATGTGTGTCTWGTGGTTTTCTCTCAAATCCCTCAGAGTAGACCCACAAACAGCCAAGCTCATTAACTTCCACTGTACCTGAGCTTTCATTTTTGTTTCTTCCAAGTCTGAAGTGAAGGATCTGTGAATTATACCTTCTCTAAAATACACACATATAGAATCGTGTGTGTGTGTGTGTGTGTGTGTGTGTGTGTGTGTGTGTGTGACAAGCGGACACTTCTATAATACAGAAAGATTACTTTTCACTCAGTGACTGTCTGATGCTTCATCTATACTCCAGTTTTTTATTTATTTTAAATTTTTTGGACTGATAGGAATGCTGCCAGAAAGTGACAGATGCAGGTGTACGGCTACTAACGTAATACTAATCAGCCACTGACAGATTCCTGTCTGTAGTTTCTGTCATTTTACCTCATTTTATTTATTAATGCTTAATTAGACTCCATTATAAAAGTTAAGATTAACGCCTTGTTTAATGTATAATTTTCATACACTTCTGACGTGGACCTGCTGACATCTTTCTTCTCTCTCTCTCCCTGATTACAGCCCTCCAGGCTCAAACTTGTGCCTCTGCAGTTGCTATCATCAACAGTCAGGGTTTCTTATGGTCAAATGAAAGGCAGGAAGAGGGTGGGAGAGAACAAGCTTGTGTCCAGTTCTGCTAACTGCTGCCAACAAAGCAAAGGCTTCCAGGACATCTTCCTTAAATATTTATCTTTCTTTGCTCAAACAATTGCAAACCAAAAGGGAAGAGGGGGCTAATAAAAATGTACTTGACATGAGATAGTACACTAGCAAAAATAAAATGAACAACTACAGGATACAGTAGCAAAAGTAGACAGAGCTAATTAACTATAATTATAAGAGCACTTAGCTGAAAAGTGAACTACAAACACATTTTAACACATGCACAGTGCAGAGTTATGAAGGAGCAGATTTCATTTTTATATCTGCACATAAAACCTGAACCTAAAGCAGCTAAGTAGCTTAGCACATAAACCAGAAACAAAAAGCATTGATTTGGTGGTTAGAGCTGTGGGCTTTCACCTCCTGGCCTGATTTAGCATGTTTAATGTCTTATAACAGTTTATTCCAYGTAGACTTAAAAATTGTTTTTAATCAGTGAAGAAACTTTGCTTAAACCTTGCTTAAAAGTAATAACATATCAAATAAAAGTACATTTTTCATTGTTTCAATGATTAGAGCAGTCATCTTCTAACCAGAGGGTCAGAGGTTTGATTCCTGACAGTAGTGTCCCTGGGCAAGGCCCCACATTACCTCTGATGGCCCACGGTCTGAGTGTAAAGTAGTGATGTGTCAATAGTAGCGAATCAGAAGAGCCGACTCCCATCAAGTGAGAGCCAGCTCCTTAATTTTGTTTTCCTTTCRCTGGCTTTAGGACCAATCACATGCATGGATATACTGTACATGGGTGGGCTAACCTAGTCCTTGAGGGCCATTATCCTGCCAGTTTCACTTGATTTGAATGAATAGTTGATTGCAYGGCTTCTGCATAACTTGAAAAGGTACCGCTGAATCAGGTGTGTTGTAGCAAAGAACAAGTAAAACATGCAAGACAGTGTCCCCTGAAGACCAGAGCTACCCACCCTGATATAGGCTCAAACAATTATATGAAAACAGAGAGGGAGACAGATGTGACAATCTGATGGAGCATCTGTCCWCTCAAAGGCCCAGCATTGATCCATTAAATAAAAATCTAAAGTTTGATTAAAATATTTACCAAACAAAAATAAAAATGCCTGCTTTTGTAACAGAACAATCACAATTAGGCAATCATATAAACACTAAATGTGAAAGAATTGATCAACAAACTGTAGGTCTGATCCCAAATTGTATCAGGATAGACATCAAGATTTTTTTATTGTTTGTCAGAAAAATGTGTGCAAATGTAATTTGTAATGTAAAGAATTATGTTCTTGGAAAAAGCAGCAAAGGTGGCACAGTGACTCAGTCGGCAGAACTGTTTCCTCTCAGCTAGAAGGTTGCCGGATCGAATCCCAGCTGCCTTTCTGGGTAGAGTTTGCATGTTCTCTCTGTGTGCATGCATGGGTTTTCTACTTTCCTTCCTTCCACGAAACCAAAAACATGACTGTTAGGCTAATTGGTAATTGTCCCTACAGATATGAATGAGTGAATGGTTGTTTGTCTCTATGTGTCCCTGTGATGGACATGACCTGTCCAGGGTGTACCCCGCCCCTTGCACAGTGACTTCTGGATTTGGGCAACAGTGACCCCCAGGCAGGGGCAGTTCTAGGGGTGGGGCCACAGGGGCATTGGCCCCTGCTGAAATATGACTGGCCCCCTGAGGTTCTCCTATGAAAATATCTTCATATGCCCCTGTCCTGTCACTCATCTGTCCTTTGTCCGAGAGCGATGATGGTGGGTGCAGTTCCATGCCCAAACGSTAGAGGCACTAATGAGTCAAACAGGAAGGTCCAGCATGAATCAATCTTAAAGAATTCTTTTTCTCTTCTTTCACAGACTTGAACTATCCTGCAGAAGATACCTTTCAACTGGCAAACAATGGCTTCGTTTTCTCACATGCTTTGAGAAGTACAGTGAAAATGCATGTAAAACTGATGAGGATAATTTAAGCTTTTTTAATAACATTACAATATGTTGCAAGTGTTGGAACATATGTGACCAGTTAAATTTATACACCTTACAAAAACCAAGGATTTATGTACATGGATGTTGAACAAATACTTGGCCCCTCTATGAATATTGTGGCCCCTTGATGGCCCCTTACTTAGAAAATAGATCCGCCACTGCCCCCAAGACCCTTAAAGGAAGAAGTTGGTCCATATAATGGATCGATGAAAAAGCAACAAGAGATTCAAGAATTAAGTTGAAATCTTGAGATTAAAGTAAAACTGGCTGAGCATAAAATCAAAATACATAATCAGGAATAAAGTCAAGCCTGCATCAAACAAACTCATAAATCCTCTGATCCTCATCTCACTTATACCAGGTAAAAAACTATAAAATATCAATTTTTTTTCTTGAACCCGTCAATGGTGCTGTCTTTCACCACATCAGCAGTTGAAGTCACCAAACTTTTTTCAGTCTTTCACAATAAGTCATAATTACACAGTTGGACGGTTGTTCCTGCATTATGTCAGCACAGAAACACCCGGTTACACCTGAGAGCTGCACACCTTAAGGACAAGTGAAATGAGAGCTTCCTGTATCTCTCAGCACATGAGAAGGGCACTCCTGTCGTCCTACAGAAACCCAGCAAACTGGTTTGAACCGGTAAGAGTGAGTATCAGAGCAAGCAGATTAGCAGACGTTTGCTTATCTGATGTGTGTCCAGCTAAGCCTGCTTTCACACACACTAGTGGGTTGAWACAAAATATTTGGAAAAGCTTCAGAGATGTTAACGCTAGAATTAGAAGAGCTATTTCTTCTTCACAAAGGCTGAAGGAGGAGCGAAGCAGCTAAGCTCTTATTTAGAGAGCATACTGTAGATAATTATTACAAAGATGCCACTGTAAACACGCTTTGTGCAAAAAGCCGTTCCTCCACCCTACCCTACCCTCCTGAGCCAAACTGGTTTACGCCGGTCTGCTGAGACAGTCAGTCCAGCTCTGTGGGGGAAACCCAGGAAACATTAACAACATCCTCACATGAGTAACTCTAGCCCTTTGAATCTGCGTCAGAATAAAGAACTCTGTAGGCAGCRATGTGCTCCTTCTTGTTTCTTTTACCCTCCTCTGTGTTACTATATCCCACACATTACTCAACATTACTCATCAGTTCCTATGTAACCAATAACCAGAATATAATGAGAAACTGTCAGCTAGTTTAAAAATCTCATACATCTCTGAAAAACAGGGCAAGCAAGGGGGTGTTTTATTATTATTATTATGTTTATAAACCTGATTAGAGGCAACTTTCAATTTTTTAAATAAATTTTAAATGCCAGATGAAATGACAAATAAATGTCTGAACTAGAGTTCCATGTATTTTATACATAATGTCAAACATATAGGTCAGCTTCCTGCTTCTGTATTAGTTTAAACTTTTTATTTGAAATAACCAGTCTTTTTTGTGTTCCTTTGTTGCATGATGTCTAGGATTTATTTATCTGTTGGAGTTTATGGTGTTCTTAAAGTTCAAACAGCAAAAGGTCATTTTCTATAACTTTAATAAACCTTGAGGGAAAAGGTCACGATTGCTGTGATTTCTCTCAAATTATTATTAATTATCAAACTTCACTACAGTGCAACATGACCATAATTCAGGATATTCATAATGGAAGGTTTATTATTAATATCACTCCTGTTAAAGATGGTTTGGAGAAATAAAAATTTAATTTTGATAATGGCTTGAATGGGCCAGCATGCTGCAGTCCTACAACAGTTTCAAATAATTTATATGTCAGCTGTCATTACATCCTGCTCTGAATGGTAGTCTAATTTGTAACCTTCATAATGCCTGTAGAAAGAAACCAGAGTGACAAAATGAGGACAAGATTTTAATTTTTTAAATATAAATTGTTTATTTTAAAAAATAAAAAAATAAAGTGCAAATGCTCTGATGTTGACACATACATTAGCAGTGTTCACACAGCAGAGGACAGTTCAGTCACAGTTTGTATTGAGGACCAGCTGCAGTTCTTCAGTAGCATCATAAAGTCTCATCCTGCAGCAGTGTCAGCCTCACACTGATGTGCAGCCCTGCAGGTGCAGCTGCTCCAGCACACATCCACTGGGAGGCATGTAAGTCAGTGGGGACTGGTAGACATGGATTCCCTTCATATTCCAGTCTCAACATCTTGCAGCACCAGCTGCGGGCGGGCTCCTCCCGCGCTCCGCACCGGGCCTCCCGGCGGCCMGCTGCGCCTCCCGCAGCGCCGCTGCCGCGTCCGTGCAGGCGGCAGCGGTGACTCTCCGGTCACACACCGACACTCCGGAATGTTCTTTTCACACTTCGGCTCATCCCGGAGCCGACAGGGACACGCTGGCGTGGAGCAGCGCGTGATTCAACGCAGTTTGAGCAGCTGCCGCACCATGCCGGCGATCCGGAGGAACTTGTCCTTCTTCCGCTGCTTCAGAGCCATCAGGGCGCGCGCCCTCTCCTCCGGGTCGTGCGTGTAGGAGAAGATGCTCCTCACTCTCTCCTCCGCCTTCATGTCGCCGGTTTTCTGGAAGAGTCTGACCAGCGCGGCCGGGTTCACGCTGTCGAAGATGTTGGCGGCGGCCTTCTTGCGGTTCGCCGTGTCGAATTTGTTGCCGTGGACGCACGGGCTGACCCAGCGGCACTCGGAGGACACGTAGGAAGACATGTTGTGTTTGACTTTGACTCGTCCAGCTGAGGAGCTCCAGTTTCGTGAGGGAAGAGAAGCTCAGAGTGAAAGTGGGGTAAAACACGCAGAGCCTGCTGGTTTTATTGCCTGAGCTGAGGCGGGCGGAGCTTGCCGGGACAAGCTACCCAGGGTGACGTCATCTGTCGCGGAGCAGAAACAGGCGCGGTGTGTGGATGCCCTGAGGACACGGTCCACTGCTGCTCCACAAACACGCGCAACTCTGAGTGATGAAATCAGCGTGTTAAAACTCATTCTGATGAGAAGTTCAGAGTAAACACCTCACCCACAAATGTTGCTGGAAATGATGCAAACTGATGAATTCTAACCACTTATCATATGAAAGGCAGAGACATTATTTCCCTGTGTGGTCGTCTGTCTGCAATACATGCAATTATGTCATCACCCACTGGACAAGTTTGAATGAAACTTGCAAAAATAACAATATAAATAATAAAGTAATTATTGGTTATACATCTATAAGCATAATGGGTTAACTTTTAAAGTCACCTCAATTTTAAAAAGCCTCCACAGAACTGACCTTACAAAACACCAAAAATACCAACAAACTACAGATACTAGCCTGAAATTTAATGTGGTAGTAGCCAACTGAGAGTCGTTCAAGCGAACTCTTTGCCTGAAACCAAACTGCTGTCTGTCTGTTAGCAAAATATTTCATAATTCACAGGAACTTTCAGATGTTACTTTGTATCTACAACTCTTTCACCTTAAGGAGACAGTCCAATAAGCTAATCAACATGAAAAAATGTCTATAGTTAATTTAAAAACAGATGTTTTTAGYTAAAATATAGCATTTTGGTCAGCTTTATAAGTCAAGCAATGTATATAGCTATATATGCTTATGTATGTATTTTATTTGATTGCTTAAAATCATCTCATGACCTGTTCAACGCAACATGAAATTTTTGGAACTTGTGTATCCTCATCAATTTTTCTTAAAAATTTCCTTTTTGTTGTTTAWGTGTTTAGAAAYAGTGYGAATGCTGAGTCAGCATTCAATTAATATTTTGCCTATTTATATGAGTACTATAACATTTGTTTAAGTAACTTCTCATGGTCCTGATAAGTTGACAGCCTCTTCCAGGGCTGCACCTACAGCATCATGATTACATTAGTAGAAAATGACGTTAAGTGTAGAAAAAAAAGCTTCTGATATCATCCTTAAAAACAAGACACAGACGAGCAACTTTTCCTGATCCAGCACCTGCTGATAGTGAACAGACTGCCCCTTTTCATGAGTGTAGAAAATGATCACATGAAGAGATGATGCTTGGTCCAGTGCCAGGTAAATGAAAGTGCCGGATCCATCTGAAAGCAGGCCCATTGTTTATTGTAGTGTGAGTTAGGTCATGCCAGAAAGATCTGAGAGAGGAACAGAAAACAGGAGAACTRATCATCTGAGGCCAAACCCCACCKTTTAAAGAAAGTATGATGATTGTGTCAGTTCTGAGGGTTGAGCATTTTAATTTCACAATRGGGCAGTCAATGAAATTTGTTGCATTTTAGAAAACTATTTGTGTTAAAATACAAACTTTGAGTGTTGTTTCTTGTTCAACACATAMGTGCTTGCATTCTTCTAAATAAAAAAGTTTGATCTTCAGATTTGTTAGATCCACATCATCACTTTAAAAACTAATAATTGTGCCTCTATACAGCTTTTTATTGCACTGCATGAAGACTTWATGATGCAATTGTGTACAGTTTGTAAACTCCACAATTCACACTGAAATTGCACTTGCTCTAAATAAAAAAGGAAAGTAAATATCCGGCTTAGGTTACCATAAAAATATTAATACATTTATATTTTGTTTTCATAACCTGATGAAATTTTACAGGAAATGTCAATTATGTGGGTTACTGTTAACATTTCTGTCTGGATGATTGAATTTACATATCGTAACTGGATGGATTATGAAGACAACTTATTGTCTATGTATTGCCATATTTTTTAAGTAATCAGAAGCACAGATTTTGTTACTGTGCATTTTATCTAAGCTGAAGAGCCGTCTTGTCTTGTTTCTCTGCTGCTTCCATTGTATCAGGAGCAGGMTTTGGTGCCTATAAGGTCTTATAAGGCAGGTGATTATATGAGAAATGGTCTTCAGATGACAGCAAAACTCAAGCACAAACACAAAAGTCCCCAGGAGACTCCCARTCTTTCCAAATGTCCTTCCCTTCCTGTATTAATGTTGCATGTGGCCGGCATGCTGCCAGTGACAGACTCCAGTCAAACCCTCATGTTAGAAAGAGACACAGGCTCAAACAGAAATATGTTTTCTGCTACTTTACACAAAGCCTGTGGAAATTATTTATTTCCCATTACTGCCAGTGAAGGCTATGCCAAAAACTTTCAGACTGTCATGAAAGCCAGGCTAGAAAGGTTAACATTTCCATTAAAAATGCACAACTATGTATTAGTTATTAGCTGCAGTTATAATTTGTGAATAGAATAAACAAAACTTGCAATAAAATCAAGCGTGTAAAAATCCCTGTTTTAAATGACCTAAGAGGCCTCATGGGTCATTTTGACCCAAGGACAACAGGAAGGTTTAGTCTGCCTCCATTGAAAGCTGAAACAGCTGTTTGTTATTATAAACATTTTAAAGGGGCAATATTATGTGTTTCTCAGGCATATATTTAAATACTATACCATAATAAAGTATCCATGTCACCTTTAGCTGTTATTAAAATGCTGTTTTTATGTTTAAA